GATGCTTCAAACATCAGTCCTTACCAGAGACAGAAGATGGATGGATGGATGGATGGATGGATGGATGGATGGATGGATGGATGGCTCAGGAAACTGAGCTACTCTCAGAGGTCAGAGAGGGTGAGGCAGGGTGCTGAGAGAACCAGAAGGATGTTGGTTGCTGTAAGACAGGCTCAGTTATGTGTGAGATTTTGGGATGTACTGGGAAAGGAGCAAGATGACAAGGTCACTTTCTTCACATAAGTACACGTAAAACATGGAATAGCCTTTGAGAGAAGTGGGTTTTTTTCCCAGTATGGGATACACTCCAGTTGTCAAAGTCTGTCTTAGGACAGGTACAAGCAGTAACTCTGCCTCTCTGGACTGCAGCAGTGTTGTGACAGCTCCCTCAGCAGAGGCACTTCCCAGTGCCAAAGGGAGCCCGAAGCTCATCACCAGTTCCTGATAACAAAGAGCAGACAGGTTAACACTGCAGCATTTGAAAGTGATGCACAGGCAGCATGGATGAACTCCAAACTCAGTGCCTCTTTCCCCGCCGGCTGCACCACCGCACAAGGGTGTATCCATCCATCCCTGTGCCATCCCTCCTCTCCCGTGGCAGTGGGGCTAAGCGCTGCAGGGCAGCGCATGTCGCAACGGTGCACGGAGAGGGAGCTGCCCAAGTGGCAGCAGAAGCAGCATCCTGCAAACCCCATCCCACAGAGCTACAGATTCACAGAACAGTTTGGGTTGGAAGGGACCTTTTTAAAGGTCATCTAGTTCCAGCCCCCTCCATGGGCAGGGAGATCTTCAACCAGACCAGTCTGCTCATGACTCCATCCAGTCTGACCTTGAACACTGCCAGGGATAGGTCACCCATTGCCTCTCTGGGCAACCTGAACATTCTCACTGTAAATAAACTTCTTACCAATGTGTACTCTAAATCAGCCCTCTTTTAGTTTAAAACCATTACCCCTTGTTCTCTGGCAACAGGAAGTTTCCCTGGCACGGATCAGAAAAATCAAGAGGTGAATGGCTACACAACTTTTATCACTAAAAAAGAGCATGTGGGAAAAAATGAACATGTTTTTAATCATCTGAACCCGTGGCAGATTGCTGCTGTGCCTTGTTCTGTGGAGGGATTTGTG